CCTCTCACAGGCTAGACCACCATGTCCCTCTCACAGGACAGCCCACCATGTCCCTCTCACAGGCTAGACCACCATGTCCCTCTCACAGGACAGCCCACCACATCCCTCTCACAGGACAGCCCACCATGTCCCTCTCACAGGCTAGACCACCACGTACCTCTCACAGGCTAGACCACCATGTACCTGTCACAGGCTAGCCCTTCCTCACCCTAGCACCTTGGCCTGCCTGGTTGCTGAGGGGCCAGTCATCCTGCTGAGAGTCACTTTGGTGCAGGGATTTCTTCTCTATTCTCCGGGAACATTTTCCTTCTCTGACCCTCCAGGACGTTTCTGGCATGTCTACCCACCCCTCTCCTGCTGGCTTCAGTGGGTCCCTGCTTTATAAATGATGGCCATGCGTCAGCCCCAGACCTTAGGGTTCCTTTCCCCTGTCGGCACGTGCCCATGATGGCACCCCAGATTGCTGCTTTGCTACTCTTTGTATCAACCCCCACACTTAAGGCTCTACCCTAGGCCTTGTTCTGAGTCCTGGTCACACACCTGCTCCCTCCTCAGCTTTCCCCTACCTACCCTTTACCTGGAAATTATAGGCAGAAAATGATAGGAATCCCTCAGTAGCTATTATTCTCTTGTCCTTGATAGAAAAGGGCTACTGAGACATTTCCCATCATCCTTTATAATTAGATTAACTTTCTAAATGTTGTCCAATAAAACATGACTGGAAATATCTTCTGAAACTCTTTACATTGTTATTCTTGCTTCTCCACAGTTTGCTCATGTATGTGATGGCTGGCATTTGAACAACCATTATACACGAGGTCAGGACCCGATGCCAAGTATGCCAGAACATGGTGGCCACAGAGCTTCTATTCAAGTCTGAGACTATTCTGAGGATCAACACATACAGACAGATTCTACCTTGTGTAAAATGCTGGAGTTGGTGCTTTTTTGGGTTTCTTCTCTTTTGCCCCATCAGGCAAACCTAACCCTACAGATGTCTAGTGGACAGTATACAGTTAACATATTCAAAATTGTACTTGCAAACTCCCGACCCTCTCAGTGCGCCCCTTGCCCCAGCTTCCCATCTCTGTAGACACCAGTTCCATCCTCCAAAAGGCCTCCACTTCGCTCTCGCATTTGCTACATACATCGTATATGGCCAGATTATCTGGTTCTTATCCCTCACCACAGTGAAACCTGCTTGCAGCAGAAGCAGTTTTCAGAGTGAGCACTGACACAGGAGCTGGGTGTGTGGACAGCTTAGGGGCACAGAGGTGGCTCTGTGGTCTGGGAGGGACTCACCAATTTCTCCTGGATTTGCTGCTTCTGCGTGAACCAGATCTCCTCCAGCTGCTCCCGGTTCATGCCCTTCCAGCGGTCAAGGATCACATGGTGAGGCCCAAAGGAGCTGGCCGCCTGCTGAGGGTTCTCAGAGAGCAGGTCCCCATGCAGCAGGTTGGTGATCTCGGTCATGTTGTCTTCTTGTTCTTGTTGTTTCTCATGCCTCTTTCTTTCTGCCAACTCCACAACCTGTGCAGAGAAGGATCTCAGAATATGTTAGAGTAACCGCAGGGTCAAGACCTTCCATCTGGGCCCTGGTTGCAGGCTGGGGACCCCAGCTATCAGAGCACTGTTGGGCAGTGGCTGGGCTTTGGGTCATTGACCACAGCCGTGTGTACAATTGTGGATTTCTATACTAACTTGTGAAAGCAAGGCACTGCCCCCACTGGCTTGTCTCTAAGCAGTGTAACCCGTGATCCCTAAAACTTTTAGACACTTGTACACAACAAGCCAACAGTGTGACTTCTAAGGGTGGAAGCACACTGCTGCCCCAGCAGTCCTGACAGTTTCAGCATGGTCCCTGTTACAAATGAGTTCCTGTCCATTCACTGTTCAAAGCCTGGAGTGAGGGACCATGTGATTTGTATAGTAAGTCACCTGTCCTCGCTAGGCTGCAGATAGTTCTCTGTATAGTCAAAAGGCGGTGTGATGGTTATTCTTGGTTGTCAACTTGACTACATGTGACTTAACTAAAACTCAAGCTGCTGTGTACATATGTGAGAGACTTTAAAAAAAAATTGGGTCATTTGAGGTGGAAAAACTATAGTAGTTCTAATAAGAATGGCTCCCAAAGGGATTAGAAGGATTAGGAGGTGTGGCCTTATTAGAGGAAGTGTGTTGCTGGGGATGAGCTTTAAAAAGTATCCACACGAGGCCCAGTGTCTGTCTCCCGGCGCCTGCGGATTAAGATGAAAAGTTCTCAGATACTTCTCTAGAACCATGCCTGCCACCATGCGCCCATCGTGATGATAATCCTCTGAAACTGTCATTTTTAAAATGGTTTCCTAAGAGTTGCTTTGCTTGTGGTGTCTCTTCACAGCAATACAACAGTAAGACAAAGATCCACCTGTATAAAGGACGTCAAAGAAGGAAGCTCTGGATCTTTGCTTGATTGTGCTCACACTCACTGGCAAGTTCATTACTCCACTGGTGTTAGAGCCCACTTCTTTGGGATTCTGAGATATACTGGTGTCCACCTCATGGGCTGAATAACAACTATTGGGTTTCTGGACTTTCTGCCAGCCATTGTTGGAATAATCTGACCCACAGCCTGTAAAACTATAGTAAAGCATTCTATCAGTTCTATTGTCTAGAAATCCCTGACAAACAAAGATGGATTAGGAGACATTTCCCAGCATCAGCTGATCTTCTTAGAAAGAATGGGCAGCGGACTCGCAAGGTGTGAAATGGGTTTATAATCCTAGCTAGCGCGTATGAAAGACACACGATCCAGGTATTTTACTTACGAGCTGTAAGCCGAGATTGGGAGACTTGGAGCTCTGTTAACCTATTCCCCAGTTATAAAATCCCTTGCTACTTTGTTTTTCTTGGCCTGTGCTCATAGTCCATCTCCTCTTGTGGCAGCCTCCTCTACCCGTCTTCTTTCTTTCTCCTCTCTCTCTCCCTGCAACCCCCTCACTTGATCCTCAGGTCCCAGCTTTCTCCCTCCACTGCCCAATCACAGGTGCGAGCCTTTTATTGACCAGTTAAATTGGGGAACAAGGTTTCATGTAGCATCACTTGGCGTACGAGAGGATCTGCTCATTGTGGTTCCAGGCCACATCTTGAGAAGCCAGTATTTAGCCTTAGGACACAGGCAGCATCGGACCAACCCACTACAGGCAGGGGCTTGCAAGAGGACAGCTGCCTTGTCATCCGGCATAGGCTTTGTGGCAGACAAGACCAAATTCAGATACTTACCACTTAGAACTTGGATATCCTTGGAAAATCGCTCATCCCTTCTGAGCCTTTCTTTATCAATGAAATGGCATTAGTCAGCTTTTCTGGTAGGGCTGTTAAATAGCCAAACATGCTAACAGGGAATTGTTGCCAGGGTTAAAAGTATCAGAGCTGGAAAGATAGCTTAGTGTGTAAGAGCCGAGGACCTACGTTCTAGTCTCAGCACCGTCCAGCTCCCTGTAACTCCCACTCCAGGGGATCTGACAGCTGGTCTCTGAAGGTACCTGCATTCACATGGCACACATGCACACACAATTAAAAAATAATCAAATAAACCTTAACCTTGTGGCTACCATTCAGAGTCCTGACAATGTGCTAAACTGTCCTACCACCACATGAGTTCTCAAATTGACTAGCAAGTGTAATAGCCATTCCTGCTGTCTGGACACTGTGCCTGACCGTGGGTGTATTCTACCCTACACAATGTGAGCACAGGAGGCTGTGCAGGTTCTTGGAGGCCATGGGTGGGGCCAGCTACATCCTCTCCTTTCTGCACTGCTGGAACGCTCTCCATCAGCTGCTAGCACTCAGCAAGCATTGGATGGACGTGCAGCAGGAGGGAACCATCGGTTTTCTATCAGGAGCCATGAAACCCAAGATGAGCCTTACCAGAGCAACAGTGCATGCTGTTGGGTAAAGTGGGTATTGCCCTCACCCTCCTTCTGCAGATGGTAAAACAGGCGTCTATGGACTTGCCTAAGAGAAGGGCTTTGCCTGGCACCTTGCAGGCAGGCTCTGAAGCCTGCACATTAAACCCTGATACCACACCACCTTCTGATAGAATAAGCAGTCCCTACTGTGCCTGCCTGCTGACAACCAATGGCCCCTCTGAGACGTTCTTTCTTCTTTGGGACAGGGTCTCTCTGTGTAGCCCAGCAGGACCAGGAGCTCCTCCTACCATATCCGTGGAGTGCCAGAATCACAAGTGTGGGCCATCATGCCCAGTGTGAAATTTTCTTTTAATTTTCCTGGCTAAATGGCAAAGTCTGTTACCAGTCAGGGACAGGAGCTGTGAGGCTGAAGTGCAGCTTCCTCAGAGAGAGCCGTTGTGACAGTGCTGCCCTGAGAATCCATCTGCATGGGGAGCTATAGAGTCTGAGGGTATCACTGCAGATGCTTATTAAAATAGTATGGACGGAGCCAAACGTCGTGGTACACGCCTTTAATCTTGGCACTCGGGAGGCAGGTGCAGGCAGGTCTCTTTGAACTAGAGGAGGCCAGTCTCCTCTACATACTGAGTTCCGGGACAGCCAGGACTACATAGAGAGACCTTGTCTGGATTTTTAAAAAAGCAAGAGCAAATGTGAAATAAAGTCAGCTATTTTCTTCCTAAGACTATAGGTCTAGAGACAGGGTAAATCACCAGGAATGTAACTACATAGAAAAACAAACAAACAAACAAACAAACAAACATGACAAAACAACAACCAAAACCAAACCAAACCAAACCACAGAGGAGGAGGCAGTTTGCAAAGGAGCAAGAAACTTGGAGCCACTGCAGGAGGGGCGGGAGGACAGGAAGCTCCTAGGAAGGAAGCATGAGCTGGGAAGAGGAGGGTGTGTTAGGGGGACCGACTGCCTGACTACTGAGTGTGTGAGCCGATGAGACTCAGACAAGCCAGAACAAGGGGCGTTCATGGGGCAGATGTTCCCATCCTCATTCAGGTTTTAAACGTGACTCTGCCCAGGCCTGGCAGCTTGCTTGCATGGAGAGCCTTATAGATTTCACTCTTAGTTGAGAGACAGGCCAAATCAGACTTCATCTACCTCTATCATGCGGTGAGCCCTGTCAGAGCTGGTAGTATAAGCAGTCTGGTTTTGGAACCTCTCAAAACCCCAGGAGCCCCCAGGATGCTGCTGTGTGCATGTTCTTCCTTCAGACTGAGCTCAGGGTGTGTATACCTGGCTCTTGTTGAACGCTTTCACGGCTGCGCAGACTTCCTTCCTGGTGGAGCCTTCCAGCTTCTGCAAGTCTCTGGCTGCTTCATCAAACTTTAGTAGCGTCTGAGTGTGGTGGTGTTCTGCCAGAAAACAAGATGCCATCAGCCTGAATATGCTGACCAGAAGCACCACCCAACGGTGTGCTGATTCACACTCATTCCTTACCAGGGGACAGAAGGGGGAGTGAATGGAGGGTCAGGAGACTATATGCCTCACAGGTTCTAGGAGATTTAAGTGTAGCTTCTACAGCTTTGTGAACAGGGATACTAGCAATCTCTATGGATTGATGACATTTGTTGTGAATTGGTGATGTCTGCAGCAGCACTGAGGTAGATTAGTTAGGCCTTGCTAACTCTGGCCTATCAGGAGATGGTTTCAGTCTTACAAAGGCAAAAAGTGGTAGGAACCCGGGGGAAAAAAGGCTGTAGAAACCAGTCAAGACCCAGAGCAGAGTGCCAGGTCACAGATACTGGTGGAGTAGGAGTGGAACTTTGCTAGGGCAGTGATGGGGACAAGGAAGGATGAAGGTCAAGGGCACCAGGAGTGAAGTATAAAGGCCTGGAGCCAGAACAGGCTTCCAAACATGGCCCAGCACAGTTACCAGAAGCTGTTGCTTAGCCTCTGTGCCCCGCCCTCACCTGTGAGGCACAGTGTTGAAGAGCAACGGGCATGTGAAAGTCACTGGCCAGCAGCTTCTGCTTTCTGTGCTTGTGCTGTGAGGGGCTCCTCCATATCTCCCAAACCTAAGACCACAGACTCTCCATTGTGCTGGGACGCAGGGCCTCCCATATGCAGGGCAAGCGCTCCAACACTGTGCTACATCCCAGTCCCGGAGGACCAGTCTCTTTAGCCTTCACTTTCCAGCCTCTGCATACCTTCATCCTCCCCTCGCTCTTCATTTGTTAATCTGGCTCGTACCAGAGGGTGATCAAGAGCCGGGATTGGGCCCCATATTGCTCAGGACACACACACATGAGAAATGGGTTTCTCCGCTGTCCTGTAACTTGAAAGCATACAATCCCCCCCCCCCCAAATAGATATACAAAGGGTGATAGTCCATAGAGGAAAGGGAGAGAGATGAGAAAATGTAGGGAATGCCTGGCTTGGGAGGTTGGAGGGAAGGGCCCAAGAAATAGCTTCTCTAGGACACGTCTATTCAGATCTGAAGGACTAAAATGGTCAGGGAAGGTGCAGAGGACCTAAAGTGGGAGCGATAGGATGGACTCTCAAAGTGAAAGAGTCAAAGTGTTTGAAATGCCATGAACAAGCTGATGTTGTCCAGGTGGGCAAGGGCCCAGCATGGAGAGCCTGTGGGCTGTGCGATGATCTCAATCTTATCCACATCCCGTGACAACATTAGATAGTACTGGGCTGGGACGAGAGTATGGGTGTGGTGTGGTGTGGTGTGGTGTGGTGTGGTGTGGTGTGGTGTGGCTCAACTTGACAGTATGTAAGAAGTCTCATTCTGCCTGTTAAGAGTGGACTAGAGAGGAGAGTAAACAGTTACAAAGCCAATAGCAGAGGCCTGTCCAGGTGAGACAATGCCATGGCTTGTCTCACGGTGGTGGCAAGGGGTTGGCGGGTAGGGGGAAGTTCAAAGTGTATGCAGGAGGCAGAAGGGGCACAGTTGAGGATGGCTGAAGGTGAGGTCAGGATTGCCTCCCAGCTTTCTGGTCTGACAGGCAAGGAGGGAGCTGAAGGAGAAGCAGATCCAGCAGAGCAGCCCAGGGAGGGAACTGGCCCTGGGAGTCAAATAAATGTATATATCAAGGAGGCTGAGGCTGAGAACAGACAACCCTGGGCCAGACTGGCCACAGCAGCTCTAGGACATGTGGACAAGAGGAGGCTGGGAGGGAAGGAAGACCATCAGGGAGAAAGGCTTGGGGGAGCCCAAAGCTGAGCAAGGAGCGTGAAGAATCACAGAGACAGGAGCAGCTGAGGAGGGGAGGCAGTGGCTCTCACTTAGTTCAGATTTGCCCTTCAGTCACTAGTGATGTACCCAGAGGACCAGACACTGCTGTGACTACCTGTCTAGGAGGGGCTGACAGCCTTCATGGAGGCAGAATATGCTGGATTTGTTTTGTTCATTCCCCCTGGAAGTTCATGTCTGAATCCAGAGGTTCCCTGGGAGGACCTGCTAGCACCAGGCCTATGACCGGGCTAATGAAAGTACCCAATGGAACCTCCATTTCCACACCCAAGAGACTTGCAAGATCTCCGCTTTAATTCATCTTCCAAGCAGGCTGTGCCTCAGTGCCTGCCTCCAGGTTTCTGCCCTACTTGAGTTCTACCTTGGCTTCCCTCCCTCAGTGACAGCATGTGACCCGTAAGTTAAATAAACCCTGTCCCCCACAAGTTGCTTTTGGTTGGGTGGTTTCATCACAGCAATAGAAGGCAAATTAGGACACTAAGCATGCTGAGGATGTGCTCCTGCACTGTGGAGGCATGCTGGGGGATGCTGACTCCTACGGCTGAGGTCTTGACTTTTGTAATGTTAGCAGGGCTTTGAAAAGCATCCACCAAAACTCAGCTAGAGGATGACTTGCTGTAAAGACTCTGGCACTCACCCCATCGTCTTTCATTACCTGCCAGTTTGTGGTCAGCCCGGGCTCTCTCCCATTCCCCATACTGTTGCAGAGCCCATTCTCTATTCTGTTCCTTTTGAAACCTCTTCCTTTCTTGGAAGTTCAAATCCTCTCCCATGAACTTCTGCATTCCGGATATAGTGTTCCGCACGTCATTGTCTGAAACCCGGGCTGGAAGCTCTTTCTGAAGGGCCAGGGGGTCAGAGAGATCAAATTCACGGCGAGTTTCTGGCTTCTGAAAGCTCTGCTGGAAGTCATTGATAGCTCTGCACAGTTGTTTCCTGTGCCTCTGTTCCCGGTCATTCATTATGCACATGACTTTGTCGTTGTGTTTCATCTCAGCAGCTAGGAGAGACACAGCGTTCTACGTGTAAGCCACGATGGGTAGAAATGAATCCTGCTTTAAAATAATTTTCATGACTTAAAAGACAAGGTTCCCAAACCGTAACCATTAAAGGAGCAGTATCTACTCATCTAAAAACAGACCTTAAATACACAGGAAAACCAACTGAGAAATGAGCAGAGGCCAGGACAAGGTCCAGCACTGTAAAGAAACCCAAGTGGGGAACACACTGAGAAAGTAATATTAACCTTTCATGGGACACACTTAATGAACTTCAGGAAGAATGCTTAAACGGTTGCCAACGGCTGCAGCAGAGATGATGTGAAGACTGAGGCTGAGACTGTCCCACACACTGCTTGTTGAAACATAACTGTATACACTTCTAATAATGCAATCTGACCCACCCGGTCCACTCTAGTGTCCCTCTCACATATACACAAGGGACATAACACATGGACAGTCACTGCAGCAGTATTTGCAAAAAAAAAAAAAAAATCTTTAAAAATCTGGGTATGGTAGTGTGCACCTTCAATCCCAGAATGTGAAAGGCAGCCTGGTCTATGGGGCTTCTGTGGTACCTGCATACACAAATGTTCACACAACACACACACTCACAAAACATACAGATGCAAAGACACACAAAAGCAAGTTCCTAATATTATGGTTGTATAGACAGTGCAAGTATAAACACAAGGGAAATGCACACTTCTGTAGAAGAAAAAAAGGGAGAAATTATAAGGGGGGGCACTTGTGCTATATAAAATGCAGGTCTCAGAGCGAACTCTTAAAGGAAAACACCAGAGGCCAACGTGGCAAAATGTTGACATCAGACTTGATGGTGGCTGCATGTGTCTGTTACATTGGTGTAACAAATACAAATAAGCCAGACTGAAAAGTTTGGAAAATGTGTAATAGTATAAAAAAAACCCAACTCCCCTCATAATCCAACTACTCCACACATTAACCTCTGATAACAGACTTTGTCTTTTCCTAATCATGTTATAAGACTTAAGTTGTTAGCCCATTTATCTCTAAAATTTTATCTGTCCAGCTTTTTTATAAATTTAAAAACTCCCGTGATATTTTAAAAAGCCAAATGTTCAACGGTTTGGTGAAATGGCTAGCCAAGAAAGGGAAACTGGATTCTGTCTGAAATGTTGATCTACGGCCTAGAACACTACTCGAGCCATGTAAATCACCCAGATGGCTCAGAACTTAAAAACTCAAAACTTGACAGGAAGAATATGCTCATGTAGTTAACTGAACACAAGGTGTGAAATTTTAAAAGACCGTGAAAATGATAACTCTGCGTGTGTATGTGTGTGTGAGTGTGTATGTGCATGTGTCTGTGTGCTAGTGCATGTATATGTGTGTGCACATGTGTGTGCGTGCATGTGTGTGCACACATTCATGCTCCAGCACACAACTGTCACTTGATAGCAACAGCTGTCCTCTGTAGAAGGACATCATTGAGTTTTGAAGAAGAAAATGTTTACATAGGTATTTAAAGCTTTCCCTTTTTAGAGAAAATTTTTTTTAAAGAAAACACAAATCAATGCTAATTTTATTTAAAATGTATCTCCTAAGATGTACATTAAAACTCAATAGCTGCTTTTTCTTGAGAGGAAGAATATCCTTATTAAATTATCTGAGCACAAGAAATTGAAAAATTTTAAAAGGAGAAAGACCATAAAAATGATAAACTCTGTGTATGGGCTCACACCTGTGCATGTGTGTGTGTGTGTGTGTGTGTGTGTGTGTATCTGGAGACACAAAGCAGATGCTCTGGTTTTCTCAGTTGTGCAAAAAGGAAGACAGGCGGCCATAAGAGACAGACGGGCATTTTAGAAATGCTCACCAAAGGTTTCATGCCTAGCTTTGTCCGTTGCTTCTTTTATCTTCTGGTCACGAACTTGAACATCCCAGGCTTCTGTGTCTCCCTAGGAATGGGTAAGGGAAGAGAGGTTAGAGCCTGCTAGCATTATTCAGTAGGCCACAAACTCCCTCATCTGGCCACAGCATCAACAGGTTGCCTTTTCAGGCTTGGATGCCTTTGCTTATGGCTGGGTCTTTTGCCTGGGTTGTCAGCTGTCACTAGAGCCTCCTTCATTTCCTAAACACACACACACACACACACACACACACACACACACACACACACACA